ATGTGCATATAATTTACAAGGTATATTTTTAATTATTCAGTTTTATATGTATATGGATTTTAAATGTAATAAAATTGATTACAATTAATTATTAATTTAAAATTAATGAATGGTTAATTACAACATACGCTACGCGCACATTTTCAAAGTTGTAAAAATGTCGTTCGCGCGTTGACTACTGACAAGGTTTGCTGAAGGTTGGAATCTATGCAAAAGGAGTGAAATCTTTGTGTGAGTTCTTCATGTGATTTTGAGGTGACAGGACGCATCTTTTACATTCTAAACCACGCCAGTGGTTTCTGTAGAACAATAGTTTTTTATGCTGTAACTACAGTAAAAAGGACGCTTTTTGCGTCCAATCTGCGTTAACGGATATTGTATGATTTAGGGCTGTAATGATCAGTTTATTTTTATGTTTTAATCAAGAAATCTATTTTAGTTTATCAAATAAATAATTTAAAAGACAACCTGTCTTTCTTTCACCCGTCACGGGTGTACTGACGCTACAGCTATAATAAATGGTGGCAGCGGTTCAGATGAGAAAATCCATGCAGAAATTACAGACCGTCAGGCTCTAAAATTTCATCTTAAGATTGTGGGACAGTCATTGTCTGGATATCAGCAGTGTTTTGGAGATATTACAGACCGTCAGGTTCTGAAGTGCAGCACGAAAAGTTACGAACATCAGTTCGAAAAAGTGATTACAGCTCTCTGAAGCGACGAGATAAGAAAATCCATTTTTTTGTTAGAAACTATACATTTGTTATTGTATATGAATAATTAAGTTATTTCTTAGTATTGTGTGTTTATATTTTTTTTTTTACTGGCCTCAATATAGTTCTGGTTATATATTATCCTTGGTACTTAGCCCAGTGTTGTTGTAAAATATATTAATGCTAATAACTGCAAATTAGTTTACTTTTAAAACTTGCTGTGGTAGCTACCGGGAATTGGAGTTCTGAAAACCCCCGCCCCCCCCGGGGAGAAAAGGGGTTGTGACGATACAGCTACTAGCACCCCCGTGGGCACAGGTGCTGAATTATAACTTCCTGTTTGTTCGCGGACGAAATGGACCATACCTGCAAAAAGCAGGACTGCAGATAAAACCTCCTGGGAGTTCCGGACACAAGGAACTAATTATGTTTCTCTTCGCAGATAACAAAATGAGTGAAATCTTTGTGTGAGTTTTTCATGTGATTTTGAGGTGACAGGACGCATCTTTTACATTCTAAACCACGCCAGTGTAGAACGCCAGTGTAGTGTTCTGTAGAACAATAGTTTTTTTATGCTGTAACTACAGTAAAAAGGACGCTTTTTGCGTCCAATCTGCGTTAGCGGATATTGTATGATTTAGGGCTGTAATGATCAGTTTATTTTTATGTTTTAATCAAGAAATCTATTTTAGTTTATCAAATAAATAATTGAAAAGACAACCTGTCTTTCTTTCACCCGATACGGGTGTACTGACGTTACAGCATTTTATTTTATTCTTGTTCTTATTTTGTAGAATGTTATGTTCATTGTTTTTTCAGTATGAATTTCTGTCGTTATTGTTGTTTTTTTGAATTGTTTGAAATTTAGTTTAGTTATTTTGTTGATTAGTGCGTATTGTCTAAATTGTGCAATTCGTAGATGTTTTTTAAAGTTGAAACAGAACGCTGTGTACATGGTATTCTTTGAAATTTTTGTGCTATTTATTATTAATGGAGGGTGCGTAGTTTGTAAGCGAGGTGTGCGTAGTTTGTAAATTCGTTCGTTGCCTAGAGGGTGTCATTCGTAGATGTTTTTTTAGGTTAAAACATATCGCTGTGTACATGGACTCTTGTGAAATAATTTTGGTTAGAAACTTCACGGTTTTAGGTATCTAAATTTTTTTTTTTTTTTTTTTTTTTTTGGATTTTTAGCTTAAATTGTGTGTTTAAAACATGGTTTTTGCATTAGCGAAAACCCTGTTTTTGGAGACATTTTAGGCTTAAAGTTCGAAATGTAGACAAAAAATTTAGATAGCAATATGGCAGCGTGGAGTTTCTCGCCAAAAATATTTGGCGAGAAATTTGGCGCCTTGTGGGTGCATATCAGAGTAGTTCCCAGAAGATTAAGGAACAACGCAATCTGCAACATTAACTGAAATAGATAATTAGATAATTTTAGCCTAGCTTATACCATCCGCCATACGTTAAATGTGCATGCATAAATGTATTATGTGCATGCGTAAAGGTATTATGCACATGCATAAACGCATTGTGCGTTTACACATGCGCAGAAAGTTTGTAGCTTTGAGGTCCTGATTATAGATCATTCCGGTTTTGGACGTCCAGATTAAAGACTTTATACTGTACTAACATTTAGTGAAATCTGAAATTTGCACATTACAAATTGGTTTAAGTTTGGCAACTTTGCTATCTGAGCACAGTGGCCAATTTAACAAGAAAGTACCCTATTGAAGTAATTTATATTGCTTGTAATTGATGTAGCAATTTTTAATTGTATCAATTCATAATTTCTGTAATCATCAGAATTTGACATTATATATATATAAAAAAAAAAAAAAAATTCTGCATCTTGTTTTATGTAAGTATGGAGTAATTGTTCTTCTGCCATCTAACTAGGAGTTTGTTGCATTTTTTTAAGCAATATTATCCTAAAGTAGCTAATTTGGCATAATTAAAGCTATTTTGCAATTTTTACTAGTACAGTACAAAGTCCGTAATCCGGACGTCCATTATCAGGAATGATCTATAATCCAGACCTCAAAGCCACAAACTTTTTTTTTGTATGCTTTACGCATGCACGCTTAATGTATAACGGATGGCATGTGCATTTAATGTATAGCATGCAAATTTCAGTTAATGTTGCAGATTGCGCTGTTCCTTAATCTTGTAATTGGGATCCGGCTTATTATTTTTTGCAGACTGTTATAGCAATTTTATAAAAATTAAGCTTGAACTTTCGATCATGTCAAAAATAGTTTCTAATTCTGCAGCTGTAACAGGATCTACAAAGCGAAAGCATGTTTCGATGTCCATCAAACAAAAAGTGGAATTGCTGCAAAAAATGGATAAAGGCATATCCATCTCAAAATTATGCGTGGAGTATGACATTGGAAAGTCAACTGTATATGACATAAGCAAGAAGAAAAAGGAATTTTTTATGGATTCCGACACCTTGTTTGCAATGAATAACAGAAAAAGGGTTTGTTATGGTCAAAGTGATGATTGAATGTGTCAGACAGCATCGCAGCAAGGGCATGTCATTGACGGGTCCAACGCTAATGGCTCAAGCCAAAATATTTCATGAAAAATGAACTTAAACACTGAGTGCACATATTCGACATGTTGGTTAACCAAATTTAGAAATCGACATTGTATAAGACAATTAAAAATTTCAGATGAAAAAGCTTCAGCTGATACTGAAGCTGTTGAGCAATTTGCAGATGAATTCATTGAACTCATTACTAGTGAACAATTATCTCCAGAACAAATTTACAACGCTGATGAAACTGGTCTTTTTCTGCCAATATGTATGGCGAAATACCTTGGCAACCTCTACAGAAAAGGCTTCAACTGTTGTCAGAGATTCCAAAGCGAGACTAAAAATTTTAGCAGGTGCAAATGCTGCAGGAACGCACAAGTGCAAAGTTTTTGTAATCGGAAAACATGCACGACCTCGAGCATTTAAAGGAGTAACGATTTTCCCTGTTATATATCGCGGAAATAAAAGAGCATGGATGACACAGGCATTGATGAATGATTGGTTTGAAAATAATTTTATACCCGAGGCTCGGCGACATTTGAATTCAGTTGATTTACTTGATGACTCAAAAATAGTCCTGATTGTTGACAACTGTTTGGCACATACTTCATTTAAAGTTTTAGCGAAAGATAATGTGTCTGTATTATTCTTCCCTCCATATTGTACGTCTATCATTTTGACTATGGATATGGGAAAAAGTGCACGCGCTGAAATGCAAATATAAAGTAGCATTTAAAAAATATATGTTAAATTTCTTGAACAGTGGCAAGACTATTCAAGACTTTTTGAAATTTTTTAACATAAAATCTGCTGTGTGGAGCATCGCAAGATCGTGGCAGGATGTGTCTCTAGATACGTTTATAAAATGCTTGGCATAATTTATGGCCAGCTGCCATATTTCATGGTGAGGACGATGAAGATGATAGCCACGAATTTGAAGGTTTTTGAACATCGCAAACTAAAGGTGAAATTTTCCAGTTATTGGATTTTCTAAAGAAATGTGGAGAAGCGGTAATGAATGAAGATGATTTAACAGAAGTTTTTCATTGCGACAACAATGCCCCAATCATCAATCAACAGACTGCGAAATCTGTAGTATGGTTCTAGACCCAGAAAATACTGCTTCCGATAGTGAAGAAAGTGACAGAGAGGTTACTGAAAACGAAAAATTTTCAATTGGCAAGTTAGTCGGTATTCTCGACACAGCAATTACAGGACTTGAACAGTGGAACTGTGTAACTGAACAAGAAATTATGTCTGTTTATAGAATTAAAGAGAAAGTCTTAGCACAAAAAACAAAGCAACTTAAACAACTTACATTGAAAGAAATGTCTAATAAAATAAACAAATAAATATTAAGTTTTTTTTTTTTGAAAATTTTGGTACCCTTTAGATCATAATTACTCTTTATTTCATAAATTATGGTTTCATATTTTTAATTGTATAATTTCTGCATGCCATCTTACCAGATTTAAATTGATGATCTATAATCCCGAAAAACTCCTAATTTGGAATCCCCGAAGTCCTGGCGTGTCTGAATTATGGACTTTGTACCTTAGTATTAGGATGATATTGTTATTCTTGGAATTATGTGTAATAGTGCTAAGTTTTTTAATTATAATTGCTGTTAATTTATTTATGTTTTGTTCTGTATAAATAATTTTTATTCATTTCAGTCCCGTTTTATAATAACCAAATGATTTAGTATAATATTTATTATATATTGTTTTTGTGTAGATGATAATTGGAAGAAATCCGAAGTGTGATATCCGTATTCCTGATAATAATATATCACGAATCCATTGTATTCTGAAGCATGACTCAAGAGGCTGGTGGATTATAGATAAAGAGGTATGATGACTTAAATCTGCATATAAAAATATGCACCATTTATTAATATTTAATGAGAATTTTCATAATATTCATCATCTTATGTACATAAGAATAACCGAAAGCTTTTTTTTTTTTTTACTGCTATATAAATAGTTCTTGGACTAACTCCTGCTAATACTTTTTTTTTTTTTTTGTCTTAGAAGTTTTACTAATCATTACTTTCTTCGCACTTATACCACATTCAGTTCAACAACAAAGTGACAAAGTTTATAAAACTTGCGTAGTAAACCAGTTCCTGGTATAGTTGAAAGTGTTGGCATACTTTTTTCAGTTTTCTGAGTTCATCATATCAATGTTCTATTTTCTTGCTAAAAGGGCTTACAGAACTTTTTCGTCTTTTATTAATAATCTTTTTATGTACTAAACATTATTTATTAAATATCACATTCTTTGTACTTATGCCATATAAGATTCAACAGTGAAATCACAAAATATTTAAAATTAGCATAGCTTTAGAAGTCCTGATAGAGTGTTAAGTGTTGCCCTAAATTTTTTTATAATCTGGGATATCTAGAAATTTCTTGGTGCAGGTGAAAACTGTATAACGCTGGAGAGAGCATCTGCCTTCAGTTGTTGTTGTGAGCTGTTAGTTCAGATCAACTTCGGAGTATTAAAAGCTTTTAGATGCACTTTACTTGGATTGTATTTAATGTTCTTAGTAGTTTGAAGTGTACCTACTGTTTGTCCTATGTGATACCGGGAACATCTGTATGATTATTTCTGTGAAAAGTTCCAGGACTGTGAAGTATTTCTTTTGATAAAATAAATTTTATCAACCTATCATCAGATCTGTGTGCATTTAATCTGGTTCGAACCCATACGTATGCAACACTATTAATGTTTCTGTGTTGTAGTTTGCAGCTTATAGTAATATGCAAATGAACTATATCACATTTATTTTCAACTGACAGCATGACGCAATGTAATCCTCTAAGACATTTCATATGTCCTAAATCACATAGTAAGATTAAAAAACCCATAGATTTCACCATCTTCTCATTTTGGTCACTCCTTTTGCTTCCAAAGTAGATTTCATATTTTGGCAAATTGTGATTAATTTATTGATATTTTAATATACAAGTAAGCTATATAATAATCAGTTGAACAGCAGGTTAGGTGAATGTTTAATCTCATTTTCAGTGATAATATTTAATTTGCATATTAAATAATGCTACATAAATTCTTTATATATTTTTAATTAAATATTAGTTAAAAATATATTTTTATAACTATCATTTGACAGCTTAAGTTCTGATTAATATATTTTGCGAATAAAGAGCTGCAGCTTCTGAATGAAGAAACAGCTGTAATGGAAACAAAATACATATAACTCTTTAAGTATGTACTTTTTAACTTGTATTTGTGTACTTACATGCAGATATTTTTTCAGAGAATAATGTAGGCAATACTTTGGAGATTTATTATAATTCGGGAGAAGAAACTGTCAGATAACCAATGTAGTTTACGAATGTCACAAAACTGAAAAATTAGCTATATCATTAACATCTGAAATGTATGTAGGTAATATTCTATTTTATCCTTTACTGCCATAAATTGAATACAAATCTGTTGTGAAATGATAAAGTTTGTCATTTACAGTCACCTGCTGTTGCTAAATTTTAATAAGCCACAATTGTTAAACAAATATGGTTTAACGATTGTGGCTTATTACCATGTATGTTGAAGGTCTGCTTAAAATGCCATATGCCATCTCAAATGAAATAGTTCATCACTTCAGTAAACTGAACGTAGCAGTGAAATGTGATCTGCGATTGTTTTGAGTTGCTTTTCATGGTGAGCATAATATTGCAAACCTCAAATATTGTTAAGGCCATTTGAAAATGCCTTTAAATGTGTTGATCTTTTGTCCAAAAAGCAAAGAAAAGTTACAAAATAAAACTGCTTTATATACTCAGAGGTGCCAACTCTCCCGATTTTCGACCGCTCTCCCGCCAACCCGATTTACAATATATTTCTCCCGACTTTTTCTTATTCTTAAAATTTCTCACGATTTTTATGCAACTTGGATTAATACTTTGTTATATGAATATATATATAAAAAAATGTTTTTGGACGTCTGAAAGCAATTGAATTTTCTCTACATTATATCTAAAACAAAACCTTGCGAATCAGATAGCTTCTGCTTTGTGAGTGAGAGCATTATATGTATCCAGAAATGTCGTTCTCCAGTTCTCCAATGGGCTTCGAGCTCCACTGTGTGCCAGCTGGAATATATTAGTGTAGCGATTTTAGCTGTAGCAATTTTTATTGGTAGCGTAATTAAAAATAAGGTAAGTGTTAAATTTCACAAATTGAATTTTAAGGTAAGTTCAACTGCTTATCATAACAAAGTAGTTTGCTTAGCAAAGTAGTCCATTTCCAATAGGAAACGATAATCACTTGAGTTCAAACAGAGATAGCAGAGAAAAAGTCCGGCTACGCTTCTTTGAGGGTTTCTTTTTCCGCTCTTGACAGAGCTTAGTAGCGACTCGGGACGAGCCGTAAAATACACAAGAGAGAAAGGGGCTCTCTAAAGCTTACTAGCGACTCGGGAAGAGCCGTAAAATACAAGAGAAAGGCTCTCTCTTCTGTACGCAACGACTGCGTATACTTCAGACTCAAAAAAACTCTCTAATTATTTTCACTCACTGTTTTTATGTCCAGGTTTTCTGGGCGTTTCTTGTGCGTCTGCTGCAGTGATTCGCTAAACGTCTTTTTCGGAGCATCTCTCCATTGGTTAACAGGCGATAATTTGTTCTCAGATACTGTCTTGACAGCCTGAGAAACTGAAATTTTCCGTGGGAAAATTCAGAACGTCTTTTTGGGAGGTCTATCTAAATTATTTCGAGAAACAGGCAGTTGGCGACAGTCTATCGCATACACACAATGGACACTCCACAACCCGTGAGAACTTGTATGAAAGTTTTCACCTTTCGTAAAAACAATATGCTTTCCGCACTTTGTTGGGGGTCACGTTCGACCTCAAGAATTCGTGTCATCAGGGTGGTCATCTGGCGCCCATTTGAAGTCTCCTTTTCCCAGACTTCGTGGGAGCCCGTGGGAAAATAGCTGACGACGTTACAGCTATAGATTCCTTCCCCCTTCGGAAGAACTTTTCTCGAGTTGAAACGAAGAGGAAAGTTCTCCTCATCATTTCACTAACTTAAAAAATGACACGAAATAAACTGTTCTCTTTCTCTCGATAACACTTTCAAACACACCTTTACAGGAACACAGCTACATTGATTAATAACAGTACTAGTAATGTCACTATTGAAAAGTTCACATATAAGTCAATAAGGCATTAACTTTAGAGGCGAGAATTAATGGAATATTTGAAATCAGAATCACACACACACACATATATATATATATATATACATACACATCACAAATATTCTTAACAAAGGGACAAAATAACTGATGATATATTCTTATATTACACTTTTACTGTATACAAAATACTTATTCAGATAAGAAACTGGCATGATCACCTCTTTACACTCTATGTTTCGCCCGATTCGAAACGACTCAGCCCATCAGCATTTTTTATTCAATTTGCCTGGGCGGTAAACTACCTCAAAGTTGCAAGGCTGCAACTGTACTATAAAGCTAAGGAACACAATAAATCCTAAGTAATTCTAAAAGGATCAACACTCAATATTCAAATACAAAGTACTACAATAAACAAAAACAAACAAAAATTATTGTACTCCAAACAAGTTGTCGGCTCCTATTGGTACCTAATTCAGATAAAATCTCAATTTATTTGATGCGTTTTCGCACCTATGAGCTTTCATTATGTCTGTGGGTTTCCCACTTACGGCTAAATATTTTGTGTTTCTATCTTGAAAACTACTTTGCCAGTGATCTGTTCGATTTCGATGTTCAGTTTCAGATTTCCGAACAGCACATCGTGAATGGAAACGCTCCGGGGGTCTTCCTGCACTTCTTTCTTTCCGAGTTCTTTCTTCCGGGATTCCAGACAAAAATTTGTCCTGATGGACCAGCGTTTTTTTCTTAGAAATGTTTCGCTTTCTTCGTAAATCTAAAGAAGTCCATGCACTTCGTGGGTTAATGACCTCTTTTGTTATCTTGATTTGTCCATTTCTTGACCTGTTCTCCGAACGGTGAGGACACTTCACCCTTTCTTTGCCTCGGACGTTAGCTGACTGGACGGGGAAAATTTCACCCTCCTCCTCGTCATTCATTCGCCCCGCGGGGCTCTCAACTTCGTTGTTCTCTGGACCTTGGCTAGGGGAATTTTCTTTCCTGCTGCAAGCTTTCGTTTGACTGCGAGTCATAACAGCATTGATTTTATGGGGCTGCATTTTATTCTGTTCTATCAATCGGGCTGTTCGATTTCCCAGCAGATAATATTCTTGATTCAGGTCGGAGCTAATCACTGCGGCTTTAGTAATGACTTTCCCAAAGTCCTCTCCCTCTAATTCAATTCGAGCCAAGGGTAAACACCAGGGATGTAAATCTAGCGGCTGCTTAACCCACACTGTCTCTCCTAGAAGCATCTGATGTGTTACTTGGTCCCATCCGATCAGATCGATAGTGGAGCCAGTATCCCGGAGTACAGGCATTTCTCTCGATTATTTACTCTCGCTATACTCATATAGGGAGCTAGCCATGTATCTGGAGATTCTGAAGTGCCTAGTTTGTTTACAACTTCAGCGGCCTCTTGTCTTTTTAAAACCGAGGACACTGAGGTCGGAGATGACTATCTGAATTACATTCATAACATCTAGGTATTCTCCGTTGTTCGAAAACACTTGACTTCCATTTCTCCCTCCGCAGTTTTTTCTTTCGAAACATTATCATGGCGACGTACTCGATCTGAAAATTCTCCTTTTTTCCTTTCGTTAATATTTGAATCCTGTTCGGTATTTTTAGTAAAACCTGTTGGTTTTTTTACGGACTTTCGTACTGCTTCATATTCATCTAATTTC